ATATAGATTCAGTGCAATCCCTATTGAAATCCTGACATCATATTTCACAAAACTAGAAAAAACAGTCCAAAAATTCATTCTTTATCAGAAGAGACATAGAATAGCAAAAGCAATTATAGGCAACAGAGACATGGCAGGGGTATCAACTAGAAGCTATGCTCCAAAGCCACTGTGATCAAAACAGCATGGTACTGGCAAAGAAACAGATCCAAGGACCAGTGGGATAGATCTGAAGATGCAGAAGTACTCCAGAAATACTCAGCTATCTCATCTTTGACAAAGGATATAATCATCCTCACTGGAGGAAACATAGCCTCTTTAATAAATGGTGTTGGAAAAACTGGATTTCAACTTGCCAAAAACTAGACCCCTATCTTTCACCATGCACTAAACTAAAATCCAAGGGGAGTAAAGATCTTAATATCAAAACAGAAACACTAAACTTGCTGGAAAATAAATTAGATAGAACTATAAAAGATATTGGCATAGGAAAAGACTATGAACAAATCCTCTGTAGCACAGGAACTAGCACAAAGAATCAACAACTGAGAGCTCATCTTATTAAAAAGCTTCTGTGGTATAAGACAAACAACCAACATAGCTAAGAGAGAACCTAAAGTGTGGGAAAAAAATTTTACTAGCTTCTCTTTAGACAAATGACTAGTATCTAGAATATATAAAGAACTAAAAAAAAAAAAAACAGACTCCCCACATATAAAGATCCAATTCAAAAACGGGCATCTGAAATGAACAGACATTTCTCCAACAATGAAGTAAAAGCAGCAAATAAATATATGGAAAAATGTTCAACATCACTGGTCATTCTAGAGATGCAGATGAAAACTACACTGAGATTGCACCTCACCCCAGAAAGAAAGGCTGCTGTCAAAAAATCAACCAATAACAAATGCTTATGAAGTTGTGGGGAGAAAGGAACCATTCTTCATTGTTGGTGGGAGTGCAGACTGGTGCAACCACTGTGCAAATCAATATGGAGATACCTCAAAGAACTAGGATTAGAGGTATCATTTCACCCAGCTATTCTTCTGCTGGGTATCTTCCCAAAAGAATTAAAAGGATCATACCACAGTGATGTATCCATACCCATGTTTATAGCAGCATAGTTTGTAATATCTAAAACTTGGAAACATCCCAATTGCCCATCAACAAGGGACCGGATAAAGAAGATGTGGTATTTTTATAAAATGGAGTACTACTCAGCCATAGAGACAGAGAAACTAGAGACATTTACAGATAAATGGATACATATTGAGGTCATACTCTTAAGTGAAATAAATAGGACACATAAGTAAATACTGAATAGTTTCTCTGATATAAAAAACTAAGAGTGTAAATGAGGTTCAAATGGTATAATTGATATTGGGAAATAGGAAGCAAATGGCTAAAGGAGGAGGAGTGGGAAGGGTAGGAGAAAGGAAATAAGGGAAAAGAAAAAGTATGAAAAAAGAAATACGTGGAAACAAAGTCTCTATAGATAGGAAAGGGTGAAGGGTGTGAAGGAAGGGCAGGGAAATGGAAAAGAAATAAGAATCAAGGTATCATGTAAAGGCACAAGATTCCAACGATAAATGTAACTGCATTGTTTGCCTTAAATGTACCAATAAACTTAATGGAGAAAATAAAGTAATAAAATAGAGTTTACTACCCACCAAAAAAGTAATCACTTAGAAAGAAAGTAAAACATACATAAGATTTCTTAAAAGATCATTTATAACAGAATAATTCCTAAACCACTATAACCAGTCTTCATTGTAACATGAACATTAGTAAATATAGTTATCAAATGATTCAGAGAAAAATGAAGTTTGCCAATCAGAGAAAATAAGTGGTTTGAAAATTGCTGGAAGGAATACCACAGGTGACTGAATCTGAGGAACCCTCAGTGCTCTAATGGAATGAAATGCTGTTTGGATCTTGAAGAAAATGATAGCAGGCTGATATCAGCATCATGAAGTCCCAAAGCACCGATTTTGTTTTTCTCTTCAATACCACCCAGAGCACACACATCCTCTGTAGCATGACGAGGAGCTGCAGCCTTGATAATAGCCTCCAAAGGCAGAGCACATCTTGAGCAAGTCGCTCTCAGGCTTCAGAAGCCCTGCCACTGCAGCCACGTCCTGAGCCATGGCCTTAACCCTGGCCACCATGGTAGTTGCAATACAAGCTTATGGCTTCAGGAGTTGGTGACTCCCTTTGATCATGAAAATGTGATTCTCAGAGTGTGGGTGTCATCATCTGCCCAAGCACAAAAAAGGGAATAGCACCAAAATAAAATGCTCTTGTGTAATTTTCATTCCATAGCCTCAGAGGCATGAAAGGCAATCTCATTAATTTCTTTGGATTTTATTTAGGACCATTTGCTAAGTTTCCAATAAACCGTGTTTATATTGACAGTGTTTATGGTGTCTTCAAAGACTTGTATGAGATGATTTCAACTTATAAAATCATCTAGTCAGGCATCACAGTATTTCATTGTTATTCAGAATAATAGATTCAAGCTTTATTAAATGACTTCAACATCAAGGAACATTACAGTTGATTTTCCAGTAAGACTAAAAAAGGAAGGAAAAAAACTTGGCTGTATTTTTTATGTCTCATTTCCAGTTTTCTCTATGAAGAGTATGAGATTGTGATTTTTTTCTTTCTGAGAGAGAGTTGCTTAAAAATTTGGCAATCATTGTGTTTCTATCTTCTTTTAACAGATTGTGGGTTGCTCTCAAAGTACACTTAATCTAGTAATACCCCCCCAATGAACTGAAAATTAATTTAGCATTGAATGTAATTTCCAGACTGACCAAGGTTACATCAGAATTCAGTTTGTCTTTTTCAAATATGATCCTGAGTTTTCAAAAATTTTAGGAGAGAAAAATTAAATGATGAAAACTTCTCCCCAACATAAGACTATTGTTTTCATTTCTTAAGAAAATGTAACTGCCTGCTACTTATTCTTGAACATATTATACATGTTTGAGTCAAAAAATGTAAATCAATGAAAGATATTCAGCCTCACTAAATATAGGTAGCTCTCTTCTGCTGGTTGTCTACAGAAAGGACCTCAGTGTTCAGACTCATTTTATAAATGCATCAATAAAGACTTGAATAATCTGGTGAACACTAATCATGCCTACTAGAAAAATAGCAGAAAACCACAGCCTTGTTGCTGAAGAATCAGCAGAAATCATTTTTATATGCAAACCACAAAATAAGAATTTAAAATGCACTTTACTTTTTTAATAGATGCAGTGAAAAATCATTGCTCCTCACGTGGTAAAAATGACAATGTTATGCAATTTTATCTGTGTAAGGCAGATGCAAGCAAGCGCTCAAGCAACTCTAACCTTCTGAGCCTCTTTTGTGGAGTGTCCTAAAAAGACATCAATTATACCACCTTCCTTCAAATAGATAGATGTCATTATTATTTTCCAAATGAAATAGCATTTAAAAATAATAAAAAAAGAAAGAAAGAAGTATCAGGCAGGAGACCTGTTGGTTTGCAGAAGAAATGATTTGGTTTCCAGCCATTTCACTACAGGCAAAACAGTGTGACCACAAACTATCACAATACGTAGATGAAATAATACCATTCTCAACATTACTGAGATTTTTTAAAAAAATAAATATAACATGAACTCTCGAAAGAACAAGTGCCATCTCAATCTATTTTTCTGTCTCTTGATGTAATTCTCACACCAATTCTCCTGGACATCTTCTAAGCATACAAAGTCCTTATAGGAATGTTTAGGTGACCTGCTTTTAAGGCTGAAAAACGTGTGAAAAAAAAAAACCCAAAAAACTGCTCACAGAGAAGAAGGCAAGAGTAGAAGTGGGTATCAAGCATGGCTGCAATTTAAGAAAGCTGAGACCTGGGTTATCGTCTTTAACAGCGATTTTTAAAAAAGGGTTGGAATAATAGAAAGTTTCGGGACATACTAAAAGCAAACTATCGAACAGTATATACCCCAGTAAACTAAACTGGTAAATGCACTTCAGATGTTTTGGGAATTTTTTTGGTTTTGTTTTTGTTTTGTTTTGTTTTTTTTCCCAACAGTGCTCTGGCTTACCTTTGAGAAATAATACATTTATTGTGCAAGACCTTTGCACTACAGAAGAGAAAACTAGAAAGCCAGTAAAGTAATTTAACTTGTCAAGGAAACAGCTTTCCTTACATGGTTAATATTTTTAAATTGATTTGATCATATATAAGGATTTAAAAACTTAAAAATTCAATGTTGGATACTTTAAGTTCTAATAATATTCTTTGTGTGTTAAAATTTTTTGTATCATTTTGTATGAACCCAACATTTCAATTAAAATTTATTTTCCATATATTTACTGTCATTCTCTAATAAAACTTAAAGGAACACAGACAGATTATTGAAATAGAGCTTGAAAGTAGTTACTATTTAAGATGAATTCCCAAATTAACAATGCACAGAATCATAGTATAAGAAATCACACAAAACACAGAAAAAAAAATAATAGAAATAAAAATAATAGTATTTTTGTCCATATTTTTCTTCCTTATCCTTAGTACTTAGAGAATCTAGCATATGGAGATATGCATGAACTAAATTTATTTAATTCTGAATTAAATTTATTGTTTAATCAAAACATTATTGAATCAAAATACCAATTAAGAAAAGACAACATCCTGAGTGAAAGCCCTTATGTTCGTTCAAAAGATACTGAAATGAATTGACAAAGCCATGTTTGATAGGTCAGTTAAATATATTTATTAAATATTTTAAATAGGTCATGCACACTCATAACAAATGTTAGTAACTAAGAATTAAAACATGATGTCCCGGTTCAGTGGGAAGGTTCTAGGTATTTCTGGAGGCATTGATGACTGGTTTCTTCTGGAGCCTGAAGGTAGCAAATGAATGATACGTTGTCCCCATCTGGAAAGGAAACAGCATTACTGAAGCCCATGGGCAAGAACCTGGAGGTAGAAAGACTCTGAACATCAGCAAGCTCTTTTAGTAGAATCCGGAGAATCCATATCCTCCATAGTACGATGGGCGGCAGCAGCCGTATCCGTAGTTTCCAAAGCCAGAGCCAAATCCATAGCTGCCATAGCCGCCATAGCCGCCATAGCCCCTGCCCCAGCCCAGTCTGCCGAAGCTGCCACATCCACAGCCGCAGCCACAGCCCTGGCCACCGAAGCCTCCATAGCCGTAGCCCAGGCCTCCGTAGTAGCTGCCGTAGTAGCTCATGGTGTCAGGGTGTTGAGTTGGTTTCACACTGAAGATGATTTTCGTCAATTTGTGTGACTGTAGCTTCTCAAGGTGTTTTTATACCCTCAATAATGGGTGTGGTTAACATGGACAGGTGATCTCATTTCTACACCACAGCATAATTTAAAGTCTATAAAGTCAGACAAATTGTTCTTCTCTTACAAAGGGTCTATCCTCATTAAAGGAACTATTTGTAATCATTATTTTTTCAATGGGTTTGCATTCCTCAGAACAAAATGTTTTCAAGATCAAAAACGATTATATCCCTTTCAAAGGCCATGCTGGTAGTCTAATGAAAATGGGCTAATCTGGTTGATAGCTGCTTATAACCCTGTAATTGTGTAACCTCAGATTGCTGTTCTTTGTAATTTGCATTCCATTTTCTTAGCTACTGATCATTCCCAGAAAGCAAGGTCATTTCTCCAAGGTGGTTGGTTCAAGTCGCAAGTTCCTTACTGATGTCTATGTATTTAAGTATAGAGGGAATCTTGGACTTTCATTCCTTTGAACTTTTCCTGTCATTTGATATGCAGCCTTCCTCATCCATTCTTTTGTAGACCCTTCTCTTAATGTTATGACAAGCATTTGCAATTCTTTATTAGTATTCTTCCCAAGTCCTACCGTTTTTGGAAGTCCACCTTCTCATTCATTGTATACTTTTCCCGTGGGATTTCAATATGTATTTTGAACTAGTTTTAATTGGAACATTTAAGGTATACAATATAATGACATTCATTGTTGGAAATTCGCACCTTTACATAATCAATCATGGTTGCTTTTCCCCCATCCCCCTGCCTTCCCTTCAACCCCTCCCTCCCTTATCTACAAAGACTTTGTTTCCATTTTTTTCATTTTCTCATATTAATTCCATTCCCTTCTTTCCTTTTCCCTACCCCTCACATTTCCCCTCCCCCTTTGTCCCTTTTCAGTATTACTCAGCCATAAAAAATGAGAAAAGAAGACATTTATAGCTAAACGGATGCACATTGAGATGATACTCTTAAGTGAAATATAGGGCATACATGTGTAAATACCAAATAATTTCTCTAGTGTGAGAAACTAGAAGTGCAAATAAGGACTAAAAGATATAATAGATAATGTCAATATGTATTGTTTTAATAATAGTGGATATAGTGGTGACTTTGAAAAGTCCTCTAAACATTAACTTGATCAACCTGGCTAGTTACTGGCTATAGCAAATTTTAACTACACTAGATTGCTGTCTAACTGCAGTGAACTCACCTTTTTCTAATAAGCAGCCTCCTTTCTATGCACAGATCTTGAAATTCACTCTCATATATGTATTTCCCCAAATTTATCCACCCATATACACTCAGTCACCAAGGGAACGATGTGAATATTCAATTACACTCCTGAATCTATTCATTGATATCATTTTATTCACTTCTCTAGTCCTTAATTTTGAAGTAAGCAAGTGAAGAAAAAAAAAAAAAAAAAACATACCCCTTTAGCCTGTGCCTAAACTTTGCCTCTTTTCTTCCCTGGCCTGCTTGTTTAAAGTGATAAGTTGAGCAGCACATAGCTTTCCTTATGGTTAAGAATAAAGGACAGGATATGTTATACTGAGGCCCTCACCATAAAGACAGGAATTTCCTGCCTGATCCCCAAAACTGGATTTTAACCTAATTTGTAATCTGCTTCTGTGCCCCTGTGCTTTCTCAAAGACATTGGATTGTGTGGTATTTCCCTTTAAAAACTAGGCTTTAATCCCTGCTTAATCAGTACCAAGAAAGATGGGTGTGTGAGCTCATTCTTGGTCGCTGGATATGAAAGACTCCTTTAATTTGGACATTTTTGTGGCAGGATTTTCTTCGCTGAGACAACTATAACAAAGTTCTCTTAGATTAAGGGTCTCCCACTAATGAGACTGCTCCAAGGAAAAGTTGTCATCTGATTTTTTTCTCCATAAAAAGACTAAATTAATACTCTTAAAAGCAAATCAAGTCTGACTTTTATTTTCCAACCACTGTGTCTCATAGCTGATAGAAATGTGCTTAAGTTTTGTAAATGTATGAAATTTTACTTTGCCAAACATATTTATCTCATTACATAATCTACCACATAGTTCCCTTTTCACCAAAATAACCGATTGTGTTTATTGCATTCCACTGTAGGAGACCTTAGTCTACTGCTTCCCGCTGACACAGGAGCTGCTCTTTGATCCTGGAATCCTATTTTGTACTTCTCCAACCTTTTTAATCTAGCTAGTTCTTTAAAATATAGGTCAAGTGTCTCTTTTCCCATGTTTCCAAGCTATCTCTGGTTACTTCTACCTCTGCCCACTTGTGAAAATTTTTCAGAATGCTGTTTATTTAATCCTCTTTGTATCTTTGTATGTCATCAGGTTTTAAAATACTAATTAATTATTTACCTATTTTACTTTATTTATACTATCTACTTCTTGAAATCCAAAGGTGCATGGAAAATGTAGGGTTTAAGAAACAGAAGAAAAATATTGAGAGACAAATTACTAGTTACTCTGTTCAAGGCAAGAAAACAAAATTAACAATTTTTGTGGAGAATTAAGGTCTGTCTAAATTAGCTAGATCGCACTAGACTTAAAGCAAGCAGCTCTATACCCAAATTTAGCCATGGAAGAAATGTTCACCTATACAAAAGATTATAAAATATCATGATTATTTCTCTAATAAAAAAAAATCATTTCTTATCTGATAAGGCCAGGAAGAGACAGAGTGAAAAGTAGAAACTTTAAGAAAACACTATATTGAGTTGAATATTATCAAACAAAATTTGAAAATATTAAGAAAAGAAACTCAATGAATGAGAAATCCAAGGTGAAAAAACAAAAATGCATGAGCTGAATAAAGAAATTGAAAATTTGAGGAAAGAAAAAAAGGATAAAATCATAACTCCATGAAGAATAAGCACTAAGACAACCAAAGAAGAATGTATTCAAATAAAAACATTAAATAACGACATCAGTTAAAAGCCAGGAAATAAAAGAATGAACATGTGTCCAAGATATAAATGTTTTATAAAGTCAAAAATAAAAATGAGTGAAATAAAGTTTACCATGAATTTCATATCTAACCATTAAATATGTAGGTTTTTGTCAAAAAAGTTTTAACTATTTCAAGAACCTAGAAAATACTGAACTTACGAACGAACTTCTTTCTGTCGACAGACTGGGGGTTCAACAGGGGTAATTGAGGAAACTTTGGCATAGGACTGTATGGATACTTTATTATACTTATTTTTCTATCTTATAATAATCAAATGAAAGTAAAAGAATAATCTATACACATTATTTTATATAAAAAATAAAATCAGTCCAGTTTAAATTGAAAGAAGAGAAAGAAAGGTAGAAAGTCTTATTTAATAGTTGAACAGGAGATGACATCCAATGTTTGTCTTTGAAAACTGACAGATCAGATAGTGAAATTTTAATAAGGATGCAAAGGAATAGGACATTTTTGTAAAAAAATATATAGAATGATCCATTGGATGACCAATAAAATAACTATAAAAACCTTTCAAAATATAAAATGTAAGTAAAGATGTGAAGTAACAGGAGCTCTCATATACTTCTGGGGGGAATGGGACGGTAGCCCAGTCCTCAGAAGTTAGATTCTTAAAAAGCTAACTTGTCCCCATCTTAGGACTCACAAGTGTAATGCTTGGTGTTTGTACAACTACTATGAAGACTGACTGCTCAGAAATCTGCATGTGTGTCCTGGGGATGTAGCTTAGGGGTGTAGCCCTGGAATAGCATGAGCGAGGAAGTAGGTTTGATTCCTTGACACGATGAATGTGAATGTTTATAGCTGCTTTAGTCATAATTTCATTAACTGGAAGCAATGTCTTTAAACAATTGAATGAATAAACAAACTGCACCATATAGAACATCCATACAATGCAGTCAGTGATAAAACCAATGGAGCTATCCAGATGAAAAGAGAAAAATAAATATTAAATTCATATTATGTGAAAGAAATCATCTGGAAGAGCAATATATTGCATAATTTCAATTACACGACATCCTGGGAAAGGGAAACATACCAGAATTGATGAAGTTAAAATCTGCCGTATAATAACATATAGCATAATATATAGCACTTATAACCATATGGGTTAAATATGGCTCTAAATACTTTTGATTTTTGAATAAAAAATTTTGATCAAAAATTTGATCAAAATTTTGATCAAAAATTTGATCAAAATATTATGTGGTACATAATTATATACTTATTAAGTGAAATTTCAAGACATACAATGTCTGATGATCAGATCAAAGAAACTGTCAATGTCTTTTGTTTGTTCTGGGGATATTCAAAATCTTCTCTTCTAGCTTAAACTATTCAATTAATTGTCAAGTGTAGATATTCCACTACTCTATAAACACTAGAAGTTATTCTTTCTATCTATCATCTCTCACTCTCCCATACTTTTCCCAGGATTTGATCTCACATCCCATTTTCTACTTATTTTGAGATAAACTTTCAGCTTTTACATGTAAATGAGTACATATGGCATTTGTATTTGTCTTCTTGCCTATTTCACTTAACAGAATGTCCTCCAGTTCCATCCCTCTTACTGCAAAATGCAAAATTTCATTCATCTTATGGGCTGAATAATGGCTTAGCTATTCCAATATGTCTTTGAGAAGAAACAGGGAAAAAAGGTAAGATATACCAATACAACAAAAAGCTATGAGGTGGATTCGTTTCAAACATTATTCTGTCCCAAATTCAAAGACATAATCCTTATGCAACATGAATTGTTTCAGAGCACTGAAAATGAATAAAGCCTACCAATACTTCTGGTGAAACTAATATAACACTTATTAAACTCAGTAAATATATTAAACAAAACTTAAATTACAGACCAATATTACTTATGAATATGTATGAAAAATACTAAATAAAAGTTTAATACATAGAACCCAGTACTGTGAAAGTAAAATAATACATGAGACAGTGAGATTTATTTCAAGAATA